TATATATATATATATATATATATATATATATTTATATATATATATGTACATATATATATATATGTATGTTGTATGTACGTATGTATATATGTGTATGTATGTATGTAAATATGGTGTACGTATTGTAGTATATATTTGTATTTTTTGGTGTATATGTAGATAGTTTTCCTCTGCATTCCACCATCATTGGCTAAGCAACATAGTTTCCATTTTCTATACAATTAGAGCGACAAACTTCGAAGCAACTATGTCTCTTATGTATGAATTAAACGGTACGTGCTATTAAAATACATCCGTACTTCTGATTAAACATTTCACAGCCGATGATGATAGACAGGCCTCTTCCATCGGTCAGAGTGAGTTAGAAGTTCAGAAACGGTTTGTCCGGTACTACTGCAAGGTACACGATGTACAAACAGCCTGATACTTACTCGTATTACCGGATATGCACGCTGCGTTTTATATACGTTCGCTTGTGTGTACTTGTACCCGCTCGATCCTCAGTTCTGACGGTACGTTTATACGCGTTCGGCAAATGGAATACATGGGTACGAAGGAAGGGCCTGTCTCATCTTGAAAGCGTCTCTGCTTGTTTGCTTATAGCTGCATTCATTAGATTGTGTATTGTCCTATGGTTTATGTTCTTAATTACTGGGTGAGTTTATTAGGGTTTATGGTTTAGGATTCGTTTGAATATGTACTGTCCTATAGTTTATCTCGTTCGTCTATTGACTGGATAGCGAGATATTGACCTAGTGCTCCTATGATATAGAGAATAGGGCTGCCCATGCCCTAAATAGCTATAGAACCGGAATTGGGGCCTCTAACGCATCAATACGACACGCATACAGCCACTGTCCACAGTGTGAGTTCCAGATCTGTATGCCAAGCCATATGGAACCGATCCTAGCGTGTGTGCTACAAACACTCTCGCTCACGCTAATATCCCCCCATATGATTTTATAAACCCTATACCCAGGTGATTCATTCAGTGCAAAGCCTACCTACCGCAGACGCTGCGACTGATCGTATCCAATCAGATCGCCTGAATCTGGAGGCCGCATTTCGATTAGCTGTCAAGGGTGGCGACGCTTTCCGCGCCGAGGCCCGCGACCTTGCACAGTAAGCTTGCGCGTGCATGTTATATCAGTGTGTGTGTGTGTAGTGTGTCGTATATGATTCTGTGTGACGTATGTCGTACCAGAGTGTGTGAACTGTATAGTACCTGATTCTGTGCTCATATAGTATAGTCCACGTACAAGAGAGACCGTAGCCAATGTTCCGCAGCGTATACTTGTACCGCACTTCTTTACGTAAGTATATATAGGATAAGACTTCTGGAAATAATGCTTTCCATAGCATTCTGAAGTGTATGCGGTTGACCATTGTGTGATGTTGCTGGCTCACTACATTCAATTGTATAGCTGTGCCGTTGCCATAGCATCCCAGACGGATTGTTCGCCGCAGACCTGGGTACGGTCACGCATCATAAAGTTAATTACTTCTCTGAGTGTTCCTGCGGATGGTACAAACCTGAAGAAATGCACTCTGTATGTGCCGAACTTTTGCCACCACAGCTCTAGTATTTCCTTTCTATATCCTAGCATACCGCGTGAGAGATATATCTATATATTTTGCATAAACCATGAACATTATCTCATCCCGTTAGGGGCTCGTGCCTGTACTGTTTGTACGGATTGGTAATAATGTACGTAAACCATGAACTATATCTCACCGGATCAGGGAATCTTGTACCTGTACATGCTATACGAATAGATTCATTAATTTCCGTAAATCATGAACTATATCTCACTACATCAGGGGTTTGTACCTGTACCGTTTTACGCTGGACCCGAACACCAAGAAAGAAGTAGCCAGCTACGCAACAAACCACCACAGCATGAACGACATCAACTACGACAGCCTGAGCGCTGCAGTCCAAAAAAATATACCTGATCCTACACTGAATGATAAAATGAATGACCTTGCCGTCAATGATAGTACACACGATCCTGAGCAAAACGTTACCCAAAATGCCACTTCGCCGTCCACTACAGATACGGCCGCCCCCGACGCGACTTGCGAAGTTGGAACGAAAGCAATGGATGATCCAAGCAATAAATCGTGATTAAAACTACACTGTAAACTTTACTTTAGTATAGATCGCCACTGAGAAACGGACAAAATATTAATGTCTGTGGTGCATATATAACCAACTCGATTCTGCCCGGGCATGCGTCAGAAACAATACCTTTCAAGACTGTCCATCAAAGTTTCGTACAATTCCTGTCTTTCTTGTATGTAGTACTTTGGCCTGAGTGTCTAATAGTGACATGCAATAGAGGAACCATGTGCTCTGCAATACTCACTTCGTGGGAAATGGAAGGTGAGTATTGTTCAGATTCAGTACGGCTGCTCCCCCAGATGGGACATACATTGTCTTACCTCTGGAAGATTCGTATCGGAGTATTCCAACACCGGTACTATATATGTGACTATACAAATATGTATAGATGTGTGTCTGTAAGTGAAAGTAGTCCACAAATGAGTCTCGAACGGTGATATATATTGACTATACAAATATGTATAGATGGGTGTCTATAAGTGCAAGTGAGTCACAATTTTTTTTACCGGCGATATATATATATATGTATATATATATATATGACTATACAAATATGTATAGATGTGTATCTAAGTGACAGTAAGTCCACAAATGAGTTTCGACCGGTACTATATTTAAATGACTATACAAATATGTATAGTCAAAATATACAGTGGGCCACAAATGAGGTTCGAGGGTAGGGACGGAGTGGTTGTGTCGCGCTATACTGAGAGCGACACGTACCGAACTGGCTTAGTGCCGCGATAAACAAGTGCTACCGTTTCGGAACGTGATGTGAATCCGGGTGAGAAAAATTGCAGAGAGACACCTATGAGTAGATATATTCTATTTGTTCAAGATTATCTATGGCACAAATAAATCTGACCCCATGGGCGTACATTCAGAAAATATCTGAAACAGGTCGATGTCATAAGCGGAAACTACCCAACAAGACATTGATCTTCATTTTCTCGAAGTGGCTCGTATGATCTGCAAAAAAAGGTATGATCCTGTCCCAATTTTTGAGGTGTACGATCTAGTACCAAAAACCTGATCCAGATTGCTGGCTTGGTGCGATATGAGATCAGTCACGATATGTTTGCAAGTGGTTGCCAAAACGCTCACTTACATGGTCTAGGCCTGTCGTCCGTGAGCATCTCTGCACATAAAATTGGAGGGAGTGCCAAGCATATGAAGCTAGAAACGTGGAGCAAGCTCAAAAGATGTCTCTATGATTGACTGTGGCAAAATTGACCTTCACGTAATTTCAAGAGAGATCGGAGATGTCGGGGAGCTGACGCAGATGTAAATATGAGCTGTGGATTTCACAGTACTCAGAGTCTCAGACCAACTCATTCTAGCGTTCGTAGGCCCCAATAATTCATTACGGCGTGCGATGATGTTCGCAACTTTGCTTTCCACTCTCCTGCGCTGAAGTGTTTTTAAAAATATCAATATTATACATATAAACGACCAAAAAACTGAGAGTATAAAAATTAAAATCGTACTGTCCAGTGTCCAGCTTCAGTTCAAGTCACTTCGAGCTTTTCTGGGATGTATTTAAATAAGGACTCCATGTATACATTTATTTTGATACCAAATGTTTGAGAGGATTCAAATAGATAATACCAACATTTTGAAAAATAATTTTATGATACCAACACCGAGAAAGAATAAAATTGTCCCGTGTCCGACATTAGTTTCGAAGCAAATTAGAAGCAGTGAGAATAGTTGATATTTTCTAAAAGCTTCTATGATTTTATGATACCAAATGTTTGAGCGGATTCGAATATATGATACGAACACTACATGAATATGAATTTATGATATCAACCATAGCCTTTCAAAAATTAAACATATTAACTTGATTATCAATATGAAATTATGATACCAAGCACCATACAACACCGAGGAAAAAACGTTGTCGGAAACTAGACTCTAAGCTAATTGAAAACAGTGAGAGTAGTTGATATTTTTCAAATAAAAAAACCACCCCGCTGCCAGCTATGTTTTTATCGTTTATGATACCAAATTGTGCGAGACAGTGAGAGAATTGTAATGTTTATATGACACCAACACTATTATGAAATGAAAATATATGATACCACTAGGTACCGGGGAATAAATAAATAAATCCTATATGCGGCTCGAAGCGAATTGAAAACAGTGCAATAATTAAGTTGATATCTGGTAAAAGGCAAATGCGGCTATGGTTTTTATTTATTTATGATACCAATTGCAAATATTCGAGAGGATTGAATATATGATACCAACTCTATTACTAAATATTATCATAGCTGTCTAATTGAGGTTTGAGTGTATAATTCAGAAGTCTATGATTTGAGAAGGCTATTATAGCTATGTAATAATGATTATGTATGTATTACAATACTAAATAACTATATAAATATATGAATTTAAGTCTTATGATACCAACAGTCCAGCACAGAGAGAAAACATTGTCGGTAACTAGGCTCGGTGCGAATTGAAAAAAGTGACAATAGATATTTTTTAAATAAAAAAATGTTTTTTTGTAAATCATATTGTGTCAACTTTTCCAGGCTACATAATATTTTAACATATTTATGTTGAATATTTTACGGTGGCTATGATATAGGGACAATATTAATGGTATAGGCCATTATTGATATTGCCCGTGGCGCTTTATTAGCAGTAATAAATACTCACAGTCTCACATTCACACAGTTGGTATTCGGTACTTCTACTGTTGAGTGATGACGCAGGGAAACACTGAAACATGAAACTGGTAGAGAACGAAAGATAAGACTCATAAGAGACGAAATAAATAGAGTGCGAGTACACATTTTACTCAAATGGAGAGAGTAGAGAACGTACCTTATGTACTTAAAATAACATAAATATAAATTTCGAGCTCAGAGTGTAAACTGTACAGTGAGAATAGTTGTCAAGCGGCTCTAATTGGTAGTTATATGCGGCTATTGTGCGCAAACGGATATGACAGTTAGAAATTGACATTGTCCGTTGATGCAACTGTTGACATTGGCAAATTTCAAAGCCGGTACTCGGTATACAGATTTCAGTACTGGTGACGCAGGGAAACCGGAAACTGGTAGATATGAGATTAGAGAAAGCAGAGATTTCAGATTTGATATTGAAGAGTCCGTGATCGAAATAAAAAAATTGTAAACTGTAATCTACTATTTTATGTCTATACTTTATTGACATGGTATATGTTCAATAATAGCGAAATCCAACAAAGAATATACTGGAATATGAGCATTGGCTAGGTCGTTCTGAGCCAGGCGCGCCGGATGAAAAATGGTCATCTCTCCTATTTGGCGGTCTGAGGTAGAGACTTGTTTCAGGCGAACCCCCCCCTTTCTTTTTTGGGCTGAGCTTTTTTTCCTTCGCACCCCCCATTTTTAATGTGCGTTTGAACATTTCAATTTTCGCTGAACATTCAATATTCGCTGTTTGTAGTACATATATTGCAGTATGTGTCGCTAATCACGTTATCTGAATGGCACGACATCCTTTAATGCCTATATATGGTATCAAAGTAGTCAGGTCTAGCCCCAACTATAAAATAAGAGAAAAGCGGATAGAGCACCCCCCCCTCTCCACTTTATTTTCGGACTTTATTCGCCTAAAACAAATATCCACTTGGAACCGCCTAAGTTCAAAACCATGGTCGACGGAATTACGACTGTGGCATTGAATTGAGACGGCTACTGCCACTGATATGGCTCGTGTTGGTATACATCAATCTGTTTCATCCGATATGGCCAAAAATAAATTGCCGACGTACTTCGCAATGATGCCCAGTTCCAGATGATTGGGATTCGAAGTCTTTCGCTGATGCCACTGGATACTAAGGCTTCAACGCTGAGGCTACCAGACTCTACTGTTTGTACGGCTTTCAAAGTGTTTAAGTATGAAGCCGACTCCAAGACTCGTTGGGGTTATAATCGCCTGAACCTCGTCGAAATTAAAACCAGCCTACCACGATTTCTGCTTTGATTTGAGAGCGAGATCAAACGGACCCTTTCATAAGTGAGCTAGGACATGTGCCGAGTCCAAGTACACCGGTCGCATCTGCGAACCCGGCGAAACAAGCGCTCGGCTCGCATAGTTGCGACCCGCAATTCTCACTTTAACAAATAGAGATTGAAAGAACTCAAAACGAGATTCTAGATTAGTTCTATAAAATTAAATAACCTATTGTGTATTTTCAGGTACTGATCTGGTTTAGGGTCTACAGTTGAGGAATCAACGCGAATAAAGTATATCATATAACGGTACATTTCTGGCTCTAATGTCAAATACACAATGGCTTGACGGATCGTTCGACTACAGAATGGGCGGCGAATATGTTATATTAATTCCCGTGTGAACAAAGAATGCGTTCCAAAAATATTATCATGTTAGGTTATCGGGTATTGTCTTCAATATTAAGAAATTCTAACTTTAGAACATTCAGATCAGCGGGTTTGCACTATTAAACATTATAAAACACCCGACAGCATACATTTCTGAAGAAAATGACCTCAAATACACTGACACGGATGCTTAAATCTACATGATACAGACGATCTCGTAGAGTTTCACTCAGTTTGTTGACTTTGCGAGTGTCGATAGGCGTCGTCGGGGTTTTATGACAGCGGATACATTGTGTGATTTCGATTTGCAGGTGCCGTTCGCTGAGAAGCACAAGGCAAATAGGGCTTTCGAAGAACATAAGGCTGGCTTCTACCTGCCGCCGTTGAAGTCCTGGCATGACGGTAACGGCAATAGAAATTTAACAAGAAATAGATGATTGATCCCCTCGCCTGAGCTTAAGCTGTTGACCTAGAAAATAAACGAGCAGTCCTAATATAATAAGTCACTATTGCTCACTTTCAACTGGTGGACGACAATTTGTCTTTTTTGAAGCGACATCTATGGCTAAGTGGTTACTAGATAATTCATACCATAAGATGTTGGGTATCACTACTTCCCTCGTTCTTTCGACCAATACGCCCATGCACAACACGGTTGATAGCACCAAGAAACCATCGTTCCCGCGAAATATCAGGAGGTATTGGGTAGGTACTTCACGGAGGATGTGCATCACGTACTGTGGTGTATGTGAACTCAAGGGAGACCAGGGTTGAGTCGAACAGCTAGAGATGTGCAGGGTAGAGCCACTAATATTGACTGGAAAGCTTTATTGCTTGGATGATAGCCGTAACTACAGGCTGTGAATTTTAGTTCTATGCCGAGATGGTCTTCAGGTAGCTTTGGCGCTGTTCATTGTCGTCCGCTGGGCGATTGATTGGGACCCATTGAGGCTCGTCTTTGAACAATCGGAGTGCGTGCACGCTGTAATGAACATGGATTATAGTTAGCAACATTACCAAAAATAGGACATAGATTACAGTTAGCAACAAACAACAAACGCAAAGATAGAACATGGATATTAGCTAGCAACATAACCAGAAATAGGACATAAAACAAACCCAAAGATAGAACATGGGTATTAGTTAGCAACATAACCAGAAATAGGACATATATCAAACCCAAAGATAGAACATGGATATTAGCTAGCAACATAACTAGAAATAGGACATAAAACAAACCCAAAGATAGAATATGGGTATTAGTTAGCAACATACCCAGAAATAGGACATAAATTATGATTACTGAAATAACCAGAAATAGGACATAAAATTATGATTACTAATATAACCAGAAATAGGAAATAGATTACAGTTAGCAACATGACCAGAAAAGGACAAATACAGTAACGAAGCCAGAAATATAACATGGAATAGGACATAGACTACAGTTAGCAAAATAACCAGAAATAGGTACGGGATCGGGGTAGGTATATATATTGAACCAAAAGCACAGGTCCGCTACCAGATCCACGCGCACCATAGAATATGAGTACGTCGAGACATGCGTACACATATTTTGAATAGAAAAGCACAGGACCACTACAAAACACACCCCCACTAGAGAATATGACGGGTGATTTGTAGTAGCTCCGAGTACCTTTAGACCCACGTCATGTGTCTATCGCTCACATCAAGCTACACCAGCACACACCCCAGTGGCGAATGCGTTATGTCACATCCTAATACGTTTGGTACTTCGTACACGGCTACTGGCGTATGTAGGTACACTATCGAAGCGCACTATATATACACGAAGATACTCAAACGTAAAGACACTCCTCTGATGTACATCACTTATACATCACTCAACGCGAACTCACAAATTATTTGTATCCAGCGTAAAACGGTGGTAGATGCCTGCTGGTAAGATTAAGAGATCCCCCGTCTCTACGGCGATGCGGATCCACTCGTCCTTCTGACTACGCACATCGAAGTAACCAGTACCCGCTTTAATGTATCGGATTTCCTCGTCCTCATGCAAATGCCTGCGCAAGTAAAACACAGATGCAACATAAGTATATGTATGGGCACGCAGATACGCACCACATGTCTACACGAGTATGTGGGGTAAAGTATAGCACAGCTGAAAGGAAAACCTAGATTATAAAAAAGGAAAACCTGTTGTAAGCGGATACCCTACACTCAACTATACAGTAATGCTTCCTACAACTGCACACATTGTGGTGATATGTGACAGTATTTCCGTACTGCGTCTCCCTTCGCAATTCCTCGATCGTTTTCGCTCTTGAAGTATGAAAACGCTCCTACGATAGAGCACTTTGTTCCAAATACATAGCCAAGCCTATGGAATACTATACATACAACAATACAATACAGCGATGCGCAGACAGCAGTATAGACCTAAAGATTAAAGTACAATTACTCTGGCGCACGCATAGTTGACTTTGAATGCGCATTCACACCCAATACGTGGGCATACTTATATGCGAATACGTAAAGCGTTCGCGTTCACGCTGAAGTCGACCTCGATTGGCGCATGAGGCAGCGGACAATATGTTACTGTGTCGAGTATATAAACAAATGGCCAACACAGTGTATAAACCAATACCTTTTCTGTTTGCATGATGTTTCAGTCATTAACGAGAAAACGTACTTTACGTATATAGATAGCCGATGTCAAACATGCACAGTCAATGTCCCAGATGCGCAATCCGTAAGCATAAATAGAACATACTCTTCGTAGAAGCTTTTGATTTTGTCTTCGTAATTGGGCAGTTTTTGAGGCGAGCATGTGATCTGTATGTATAGTAGAGACAATGTTGATGGTACTGATCCATTTGTTCCATCAAAACGGTTAATGTAAACAAATATACTGACGTAATCTATCAAGAAAATAAAATATTGGACACACATGTGCATGTAAATGATCGAATTATGCGTAAACATTGAAAACATTCAAATGCATATATATATACATACACACACACACACATATATATATATGTATATATATATATATATATATTATACTAATATATATATATATATATATATATGCACTACATATATATAATAATAATATATATAATATATAATAACAAC